CCCCAAAACCCCAAAACCCCAAAACCCCTTAATTCCTATTTAAGGAGCGATAGGAATGATGATAATAATTTTAAATTTAAAGGATAGATGACAAGTTTTTCAACTAAATTTTAGCTAGCTGAAGGAAAAGTAAAGAAATTCAATCCAAGCAGATATCAACACAGTGTCAAAATTGGAGAAGGGAGCTATGGAATGGTCTACAAAGCATTCGATAGTTAGTAGAAGAAGGTAGTATTAAAATAAGTTAGTAAATGATATTTTTGAATAGTAAGTTGCACTGAAAAAGGTTAAGCTAGATGATAAAGATAGCAAAGAAGGATTGCCTCATTATATTCTTAGAGAAATCTCAATTATGAGTGGGACTTCATCTCATAAGAATATCATAAAGCTCCAAGACATATTCTGGGATGAAAAAGGATTCATACTTTAGATGGAGTATGCTGATAAAGGGGACTTACTTAGACTATTCACACAAGCAGATGGAAAGTTAAGCTTCACTTAAATTAGGAATCTTTTTAGAGAGATTTTGCAAGGAGTCAATTATCTTCACTCAAGAGGAATCCTTCATTGAGATCTCAAGACTCAAAACATCTTGCTCAGTCATAACACTATCAAGATAGCGGATTTCGGCTTAGGTAAGAATACTAGGATGTAATAGGTGCAAATGACATCTTCAATTCAGAGTCTTTGGTATCGTGCGCCAGAAGCTCTGCTGGGAAATTCATTTTACTCGTCAGCTGTCGACTGTTGGTCTCTGGGTATAATACTACATGAACTTATCCACAAGACTCCCATGTATCCTGGTACCTGTGAGATAGATACAATTATTAGGATATTCAGGCATCAGGGAACTCCTTAGTTTGATAAGATCTTGAACATAGAAAATTATACCTATATCACCAAGGATTTCGAGATAAAGTTCCCCAAATTTGAGAGTTCTAAGACTTTTCCAAATCAAAGAAGAGACAAGGTACCAGAAAATTTGTTAAAAATTGTAAGTGGAATGACTACTATTGATCCAATGAAAAGAATGTCTTGTTAAGAAGCTTTGGAAATACTTGGAGAAAAGTGAATATTAAATTATAGGCAGTTAGCTGCAAACATATTATGATTATTTAGATTGAAAAAGATATTAGTAAATGTATGTTAACGATTAAATTAATTTCATGATTAATTTGATAAACACTTAATATTTAAATTGCAGATTTCAGTCCTCTTTGACAATTCTCTTCTTTTATCTATCCATTTTATCCAATCTTATTAAGAATAAGATAGTTTCAAGAATGATGGTTGAAATTCCGAAAACAAGACTCATAATTAAACTGTTTGTCATTGATAGTCCAAATATATGCAATCCTAGGAAATATCCACAGATGAAGGATAAGAACATCAAGCTGATGAAACCAAAGCCAAATGCCAAAGTGAATCTGAATTCTTGTTTTTCTTGATTTTCAAGTTCCTATTCCTATGCATCTCCACCTCTGAGTCCCTTCGTCATCTCTCTATACTACTTTTTCTCAATTCTGAGCTTAATTTACTCCAACATGACTTCATTGCTCTACTCTCTTGCTTGTTTAACATCAGGATCTTCTGCGAATTTCTTTTCACAATCCTTTAAGGTCACAAGTGATTTCTCGTTTTCCTCTATTAATTCCTCAGGCTCCATAAATGCCTCATCCACGTATCTGATCTTCAAATTATCATTGCAGATATGCTCATCAATGAATAAGATCTCAGTCTTCTCAGTAATCTACCTTATTTCCATACTTTCATACTTCCTAAGACTAACAATTACCTCCTCTAGTTCTTCTTTAGTTTCAGTAATCTTATCTCTACTGATGAAGTCCAAGACATCGAATTTATTATTCATTAGATCTTCTGCTGTGATCTCTTTATTACCTTTCTTTTTACTCTCAGCTGCAATTTTTTTCTGCAGCTTTTCTTGAGCATCTTTCATATCTTTCTTAAGCTTTTGAAGAACTGCTTCTATATCTTTAAAAGAGATGTATTGTCTGTCGCAATACTTCTGACAACCCACTAAATTCTCTAGCCTCGAATCCTTAATGATCTCCACTAGTTCCTTAGTCAACTTAAAATATACCATTTTATGATTATTAAGTTTAGCTGATCAATATGTATAAGTATTCCAGATCAAATTCTTATTAATTGATTATGTATGACTTCCTTAACTCAATATATTTATATTCAAGGGGTTTTGGGGTTTTGGGGTTTTGGGG